CTCTCTTTCTTTCTTTCTTTCTGTGTGTTTTGGTTTTTCGAGACAGGGTTTCTCTGTGTAACAGTCCTAGCTGTCCTGGAACTCGCTTTGTAGACCAGGCTGGCCTTAAACTCAGAGATCCACCTACCTCTGCCTCCCAAGTGCTAAGATTAAAGGCGTGTGCCACCACCGCCCGGCCCATATTCTCTTTTTTTAATATGCCATAGAAGTTAATATTATACTGGAGAGAATTTCAGTGTACCAGTTTTTAAAGGAAAAAAAGTGTTTTCCAGAGAAAGATATATTTCACACAGGACTTATACGGCCAATAAACAAATGTTTCATATACAAAAAACTGGTAAATACATTCATACATTGTGGCTGTACCCAGCAGGACTCATAAGAGGTTGATTAGACCATGGGCCTGGTGCCAGGTGACTGTAACTAGCAAAGGGGAGGTCTTTTGCTCCACCCCTTGGGCATTGTTATAAACAGACCTTTGGAATAAAGTTCTGGGCCAGTGAATAAGGATCCAGGCCCACCCGAGGATATCCTGTGTTTTCTCTCCACTCTCTATTTCTATCCATGTTTCTTATCCCTCAATCCCCAAGAGCTCCTGGGGTAAAAAAGTGTAGGGACTGGTCCGCCACAATACATTTATGTAGAAAACTCATTTTTTCAGTGGGTATTTTTGTATTAGTTACTGATTTTAGGAATCACATGAGATGATGGTAAAATCTTACCCTTGATCTCAAAAAGCATTCAACAAAGTTGTAAGTATTTAAAAAAAAGTGTTGCACGTGACAGCCCAGCTGTAATCCTAGCATTTAGGAAGCAGAAGGAAGCAGGAACTTTGTGTTTTCAAGGTCAGCCCAGGCTACACAGACACATAATAATCATCAGCCAAGAGTTAACATGTGATAAGGGCTAAACAGTGTGATACAGGTAACTGCAACCACAGAAATGATTCAGCTCAATCTACAGTCTAACATTAGCTACTGATTAGAGTGTCTATTATGTGCTCCTGGTCCTTCACTAAACACATTCCAAAAAGTAAAGACAGTATCACCAAGTTTCCACTCTGCCACAGAGAAAACACAGGTAAAAATTGATGCTATCAGGGACTGGGGAGAGAGCTCAGCTGATAAAGTGCTTGCCGCGAAAGCATGAGGCCTTGAGTTCGATCCCTGACACCCACACAAAAAGCTGGCATAGAGGCTCACACTTGTCAGCCTACTACTGGACAGACAGAGAGACCAGAAGATAGGTATAAGATATTATGGTAGATCATTGTATATACTAGTAAACAAATTTAGTAACATAGCAACCTTAGATAATTTTCACTGTAACTTGTACTGTTATGGATTCTTATATGTTGATACAAATGTAAACTATTTTTATATTCCTGTTTAAGATAATTTGTATATTGATACAAATACAGAACTATATTTGTTATAATGTACATATATTTCTACTCTTATTTGAAATATTTTTATATTGATACAAGTGTAAATTTATATCTGTCATACTTTATGTATGTTCTACTTCTGTTTA